TGAGTGCAGCCTGTAATGTACACGTTATGTAATTTTATATTCAAGGAAACAAGAGTGTTGCTCATTGTTGAATGTAACATCAAAATAAATAAATAAATGCCTGTGATTTTGAGAAGCACTATAGTGCAACATTGGTATGTGTCTGATGTAAATAAATCTTCATAAATTAAACTGAATTGAATCAAGTCAAACTGAAATGAATTAGTTCTGGACTTTTAAATCAAAATCGAATTGCACTGGAGATCAGTGCCAGTATCCGGCTCATTTTACTCGGTGGTGCACTTTTCTGGAGGTTCCAGACTTACTGTTGAGGATTTGGACTTGTGGCAGCATTGTCTGACATTGTTTCTCAAACTGTTCTTGACATATAAATTAAAATGAAAAGAAAAACTCGACTAATAGGACTAAGTCAATGACCATAAAGTTTGTACACCTATTCAGTAAGTCAGCCTGTATTGCATTTGCCTCAGGATGTATTTTATTGGGGCATGGTGGCGCGGTGGTTAGCGCTGTTACCTCACAGCAAGCAGGTTCTGGGTTAGAGCCCCGGCCAACTTGGGGCCTTTCTGTGCGGAGTTTGCATGTTCTCCTCGTGCTTGTGTGGGTTCTCTCCGGGTGCTCCGGCTTCCTCCCACAGTCCAAAGACCTGCAGCATAGGTTGATTGGTGTCTCTAAATTGCCCGTAGGAGTGTGTGTGTGTTGTTTGTCTGTGTGTTGGCCCTGCGATGGGCTGGCGACCTGTCGAGGGTGGACCCCGCCTTTCGCTCGCAGCTGGCTGGGATTGGCTCCAGCCCCCCGTGACCCCGTTTGGGACTAGGCGGTTTAGAGAATGGATGGATGTATTTTATTGTAGGGGTTATGTTTCGAACAACGGATAAATTTGTCAGCTGTGTCTAAAGCTTACATATCCCTGCGTAAAGTCTGCCATACTTAGAGACAGCAGAAGCATGGCTAGTTTAATAATAAACTGAGGGCCTCAATTATGTATCCAGGGATTCATTTATGTAAAAGCAACAATAAAATGAGGCTCACTTAATGTTTAAAGCCTTGTGCCTTACTTACATTCAGTACAAATAGTGCAAACTTCAGGATTTTGCTCCAGGCTGTTTTACAAGTTTTGCTCAGTTCTATCCTAAAACAAACTTCTGAGTTTTCTTCTGTGACTGCAGTGGTATACAGTAAAAATTCCTTATTAAGTATCTATCAAACCCAAATTCAGCTTTAAAACATTCCAGCTGACACCCATTGGTGACAGTGAAGGTATTGCTCGTAATGACATGCCATCCACCAGGACAGCAACCGTCAAATCTGCCCATAGAGGCATGCTCCCTCCCTAATCAAATGCTGACATCAGCTCACTAATAGGCACATGGACCTCTGTAGGATAGAGATAGAAAATCTCTGTGCTGTGGAGTGATGATGCAGAATCCTCTCAGGTGACAGTGAGAACCACAAGAGGAGTTTGGAGCTATTCAGACTAATCAACCTTGGGGT